TCTTGTGCCATCAATACAGGATTGTAACATTTTGACAATTCCTTTTTAACAAATTCAACATAACCGATATTTCCAAAAGATAATGTGTTCATAGATATCAATTTGGGTCACGGGACTTATTAATATTTATTCAGATGACGTTTATCATAAAATTTAAAACAACTATGACAAAATGTTGAGTTATTCTAATACATATAATTTACCTGAACACTCACAATTTTCATTTGGATTGGCATAATTTATTTTAAATTTACTGATAAATTATTATTTTTATGTTTTGTTGATACATTTCATGTGCTTAACTATTACAGGTTAGCACAAACATTACTGAAAGTAGGAAGTTGTTGTAGGTTTAAATTAAGTAACGGTCTAAATACTCACTTATGTCTATTCAACCGCATAACACATCTCTATAATTTTCTTCATCAAGAGATTTTTTTATTCTGGACATTGCAATACATATTGCATTGATTGTTTCTTTATTAAATTATCTTATTTCTAAAATGTATGTATACTCATTTGTAACAAATATTCACCAAACATATTCATGGGATCTCATGTAATAGAAGAGAAAAATCAAAATCCTATTTCAGAAAAGTACAAGAGAAACTGATTTTCAACTGATCTTCTGGTGTCTCCTTGGTGACATATGACATATTTCTAATATGTAGCCTTCTCATAAAAAAGGAAGAAAAAAGTATTAAATTCAATAATTATGGGATATATGATCTCAATTCTTTCATTGTTTCAAAAGTCATTAGAAATGTTGTTATCGTAATAAGATAAAAAGTACTTATCCTCCATTGTTAATTTTTCCATGTTGAAACACTGATATGCATAAAACACATTTTGTAGTTAATTTTAAAGTATAATTATATTCCCCCATTCAAACACTCACATTTAAGCATTATTAACTGTCAAACTGATTATATCATTTATATCACGCAATATAAATATGAAATCTGTTACTATAATGATTAAAGACCAGACACGTGATTTACTGAACAGTGTTTTTATAGTTATGTCAGCATGACTGAATACAACTAATAAGTGTACTTTTACATAAGCTTTCGGCTTGTTACATGTGTTTCCTTTTTCTGTATAATTATTCAACATTTAATAAATGAAAAGAACAATATTCGAATATAATACTTCTATCAACTATTCTTTGTAAAAAATGTCAAGAACATTACATGTCTTTTCTGTGTAATGTTGATTCTACCAAGTACTTTTAAAGTAATTGTGTACCCATTTCATATATGACGTGGCTTCTATGTACTTATATCTTTATTTTTATGATTTATGGTTTTCTTTCATCTCGTAAAAATATGACACCGATAAGCTGAACATTGTCCTAATTAACTCTCTTTTGAAATCACGAGTAATGCGTATATATATGGAGCTGGATGTGGAACGTGACATTTTGCTTTATTTGTTGAACAAATATGGTTTTCCCTTACAGTACAGGGGATTACTTGACCTTTTCCAGATATGGCATTGTGTGAACTGATTTAGCACGAAAGCATTCGACTACTCAGTCTAGACAGAAAAACAGGGATCCTCGCATACTTTTATGAAAATAGTTTGCTAACCAAATGCTTGAACATGGTTCATAACAAAATTTGATGCAATGTTTAAGTTTTATATAGACTTTATAGGGTAAATTTTGTTTTGCTACATTTATATTTAAAAGTACATGCAATAGCTGCCTTTAAATTTATTTGATATTGATTAGCTCCTTTATGTTTGAATTAAAAATCAATTTAATTTTTAATTGCATGAACACCTTGCACGCAGACTTTTAATATGTCCTCGTGTTTCTGCAGATGTTAATGCACAAAAAGGCGCATTAACTCTATATTGTCAGACTTTTTGTTGAAGTATGGATAGGTTTACTTTAAGTAATCTGCCCTTTTGCATTAAAACAAATAAGCCTATCACGAGATGATTGTACGTCATCATAAAATATACTTTTAAAAAAAGGGAAAAGAAATCAGTTACAGCAAGAATGTATGGTTACTTGTGAACGCCTTATTGCCTTTAAATATTGGTTTAAAAACCTGATAACATCTTCAAGTATTTTGAAACAATACTCTAAGGCGTAAAACATAAAATTACCATTATTTACCAGGTGTAGTATTTAATGCAAATATTGAATTAACTTAGATGTATTTTAGATGTATACCGTATGGCTTAAAAACCTTTCGAGTTATAAATATTGTTTTTAAAGCGTTATATTATAATGGCAGCCAGGCTGTTGGTAATGATTGTCTTAAATATTGATAATTATGCATCAGACTTGCAAAATATATTAAAAGAAGAAGATCTAGAACTAGTGATAACCACAGACTAGACTATGCCATTGTTTTATTATTACAATATGAGCTGAGAGTGTTAAATATGTAAATTAAGACAACGATGTAACATCATCTCTTCAGCAGGAAATTGTTGAGCTGCGGTATGCTCGATAATATAAGCGTTATTAATTTTTTTGTGAAGAGTTTTCAAGTCTGTAACAAAATATATATTTAGGATGATGTTGTCTGATGTATTACAAATGTTATTTTTTTTCGTCAGAAAGAGAATTTCTATTGGATAAGTGCGAAAGACAAATTAATTAGGATTCGTGGTAGATGTGTTATAGTGGTCATTCGTATTCATTTTTATTTGAGCATTGTCATAATTTCACCAGACGTCACATGACAGACTATAAAACCTTTGTTAGACAAATATTACTTTTAGACGCTGCGCATATCGTTAAATTTAATTGTATCAAATAGCACCACTGCTGCAGACTGTAATTTTAGTTTTATAATGAAAAAAAAAACATCGAGTGATTCTGGTATATCAGTAGAGATAAAAAAAGACAATCTTTAAGATATTTTTTTCTGACTGAAACAATAAGCTATTACAACATTCAACATATCGATTGCAAATAATATTTGTTAAAACTTTATCTTAGCTACATGTATCACGTCAATATCTTTGCATTTTTCAAGTTTTTATGTACATGTTCAGGAATGAAAAAACTATGTTCTGTTGTCTGTATTACGTCTTTGAATATCATTACTGATCATTTCCTACAATATGCGTAACAATTAGAAATCAGCGAATCCCTTTCAGTTAAGCTATGCATTTACATTTTGTTGACTTTATTTCTTCTTATAATATGAAAACACGTCAACACTTCTCAATCCACAATAATTCATGTTGTGCCATTATTCCTTTACTGAAACATTGAGAAAATTCTATAGTCTGTCTTTGTTTATAACACCAATGATAAAAAATTCCAGACAGTTGATTGACAGTAACGAACTTCTTTATTATTCTCTTCAGTTGATTATTTCTAAATCATATCAATAAATATTACAACTGAGAGCTTTCTGCTTACATATGCATACATTACCGATCAGATTGCGTATTTGTAACACTGGATATTCACTAAAAGCAAATAGAGATCGTTCCAAAAGTACCGACAACTTTTTCTTGATTAAAATGCTTAAGTGCCTATATCGGGACCTACACATACGAGTAAATGTTAATATTTCGAGAGGATCAAGTCTTGTTTATTTTACTTATTTTACTGTAATTATGTAATTGCTGTATGGACTCGATTTCCGTATGTGGAATAAATTGGACACTGCACTGTCCAAAACAGGGCAAGTATTGCGCATATTGGACGAACTGTTTGTTACAACTCAGAGGCTGTATATGACTACTACAAAATAACATCATTTGTGTCTGCTTATATTTGCTTATTTACAGTGACCGTGTGGAGAAATGTCAGCTTAAAAACTATCTAGCAAGGAAATAAGTGCATATTGTAAAATCTAATAGAAGTTCTCTCTGCGCAACCACACATTTGATTTTTTTGAGTATTTCAAAAAAAATATTATACCAGAATTGTTTAAAACACATGGTGTTAAGCGCGTACTCAGTAAGCAAACCACTTGAAAACTAATTTCAACTTCGGTTTAATGATTATTACATTGATCAATATATCAAGGAAAATGAACATATGACGTCACTGTGTAAAATAAGTACGTAAAAACATTTATTTTAAAATGTTTAAAAGAGAAGCAACCAGTTTGTATCAGAAATGCTCTTGAAAAAGAAACTAAGGTCTATGTAAGCAATTACGGATAGACGAATAGAAATAAACGGCGTGCAAAATATTTCCATTGCCATACCCATAAATAAACTACACGTAATCTTATTTTAAAATATTTTTAAAGAATCTCGAAAGCACATATTGATATTTATATGCATTTTATTGTACATTATTCATATCCTCAGTTATCTTCTCATAGTTATCTGATTGATAGACCTGTACTATTTTTTCTGATTAATTAACTTAATGAAAGAATTATTTGTTTTTGTTTCTAGAGGATGATCATTGTAATGAGAATTTATTGCAATAGTTGATAACAATTGCTAAAAATATCAAGAAGGTGGAAAGTATAAACAAAGACATAAAACAAAACTGTTTCAGGCATGCTTTCCACAAAACATAGAAAGTTGCACTCTGACAAACGCTGCATGTGTTAAAATCATACAGACCTATAATGATTAAACAAACTAGCCTTTTCATTAAAATCACTTCTATATGTATTTAATGTGAATACCAATAATACGTTTCACTCACATTCACAAGAATTAAAAATACGATACAAAATCAAAACAGTATTTTAGTAAAATGAATCATGTAAATATAAAGATACGTATAAGAATTGAGACCTAGTTACTGTTCCGTAGACCTTTCATTAAACTTTTAATTATTATATATACCGCATAAACAATACATAATTCATCAATCAAAATTGAAGTATGTTCAGGCATGTTTTGTATATACGGCATCTGTTTTAAATTATATTCCATTCGCCTGAACTTGTTTTTATGAACCATTTACTTTTCAAATGCCAGTCATTAATTATTAAACAATTGTACAAGCACCATAAAGCTTCAAATTTCATTTTGTAAGGCTTTTCGACATTTTTATAAAAAAAGTATGAACAACATACTTTTCCTTTTGATGTACCTCTATTATAAAATTCGATCACGTGTCACTGTGTATGCTACTTTCCGGAAAAATGTATTCCCCTGACTTCAAATCCTTTATTTTCTGTCGTGTACTTCTCTTATTATTCACATTTTCCTCCATTTGAAATTCATATCGTAAGCGCGGGAAGATAATTTGTATCTTTTTGTAAATTTCCTCGTCAGACGACAATGTCGTCTGCTTCTTTTGACAACAACTGTTCAGAGCCATCCGTAAGCCAGCTCGAAATTTAGGACTCATCCAAAGATAAATTATTGGGTTGTAGCAACTGTTACTCATTGAAAGCCAATGAAAACCCAACCATAGTATAGGAATATATTTGTTGTTGTAGATGGTTGGGTTATGGTCACCAACAAGGGTTATGGTATGAAGTGGTAACCAACATAAAGCGTAGAATATCACAACTGTCACCATCATCTCTATCATCTGAAACAAAAACAATATTGTTTTACAGACAAGTTTATCTACAAATAGCTGTACAAGAAATATGCAAAAATTACAAAATTGCTACAAAAATGTAATACATCTATGAAGATATTTCGATATACTATTATTACACAATATACGTTCGTTGTACATGGAATCAGTTATGACTGTTGACACGACAAAACAAACGAATCTTTTAAATGCATCGTTAGCAATTCGCAAAATAAAACAAACAAAAATCTGGGTATGTCATAAATAGAAACAGCAAAGATCTCCTGAATCCATTATGTCTAAGTGTTTGTAGAAGCTCACCTGAATTAAATAAGATATATTGATTTAAAATGGAATTTCAATCATTAATAACATTATGTACTTAATTTACAGTGATAATATGACAAAATCGGATAGACCACTCAGAAATAATGACTTGATTTCAAGAAATAAGATATGTAATTGCTCTTTAGGGCGTTGTTCTTAAGAGCAAAAGTCATGAAAACAGTCCTTATATTAACCGTTCGTGATTTGTGGTGGCAATATTGTCAATGAACATTTATCATTTCGAATATATTAGAATAATCAATTTGATGCATTTAGAATTTATCTGTTAGTTTATCTGTTACAGATTAATAAATTTATTAAATCTAAGTAAATCAACAGTAATTAAATATAATATTTCAAAGTCAGCGTCAAAGGTCGGCTAATTATGTAATCAAATAAATTCTTAAGTGAATATTAGGCTAGCAAGCAGATGAAATCTTGGCAACAACATGTGCTATAATAAGTAATCAATTAATGTGGACACATTGGTGTATGTTTAAAATCATGATCTACTTATATTAAGTATGGTTTCTGTTGTTGAGAGGGAAACACTTCGAACTAAGTCTGAAATGAAGCTGTAATGTAATAAGAAGATAGAGGAATTCATTTTAGGCAAATGAAAAAAAAATCGAAATTGTTATAAGGGGTATCAATCAAAGCTGGTAAAAACCTCACTTCAAGTATTAATCACATAAAACAAGGCATAGAAGTGTAATAAATAGAGGATATTGAATGAGTATTGGTTCAATACTGAATTTATTAAACGAGTTAATAAAATTATATTATGCGAGACTCTGGCGAGCAAAATATTATTTTATTCAACGTGTTTAATAAACTCAGTAATGGACCTACACGAATGTAATAGACGTCATTTGTGTCATACGTCGTACAAAAGTTTGCCTTATACTGCAAGCGCGTCAAAGCAAAATGAACGTTTTCTTTAACCGTAGGCAGGTTATTTTTATGAGGTTTTGAATAGGTGATTCAAGCTCACTAAATAGAATGGTGTAATTAAAATGATTTGAATAATAATGACTTTTGTATATAATCAAGTATATTGCGCACTAGTTCTAACGGTTTTAACGTTTGTAAGCACAAAGCACCGCTTCAGATTTCATACTTACTTTTTTCTTAGCAGTTGCCAATTGAAGTTTACGTTTATTTCTATCTGTTCCTTGAATATTCTTTATCCAAATATTGTATCCAATTTTAGAATATGAGAATAATAGAATGGTCAATGGTCCAAAGTAATGCAAAACCATTAACGACATCCGTACGAAATATGTGTAGTATTATTTTCCAGTTTCTAGACATCAGTCCACTTTTTAAGAATGGTAACACTCGGATTTCAAAAACGTAGCGGTAACGGTATAAGTAAAACGACATCACCCAATTCCAATAATCGTATTAACGCAGTTTTGTTTTTGTGTGATTCTCGGTTTTGAATGCGATGAACAATCACAATGTATCTATCTATACTTCATGGCAACAAGGGTGTAGGAACTTAGAAACACAGCAACAAACTTGTATGGTATAGCACAATAGACACATTGTCTCAACCAAATGGCCAATAAATTTAAGGAATCAAATTGGCAATAAATGTAAATGGAATACCAAAAACACGGCCATGGAGTTTATTCACTAACGCCAAGGTTTACAATAAAATAGTCGTCACCGTTGCATTCGTTTATAAGCATACACTAAATAACAACTCCCATTTTCCCACAACAGCTTGATTTTACTATAGAATACGACAATTATTAAGACCTGTACATATTCGGATATCTGAAATGCCTCATTCGATGCCTTCGTTGAGTTCTGTTCATTTTCTAGACCCTCTTGCATTTTATTATCACACATGTGAGCCGATCATTACATTGTGCATTATCAAGTGATGTTGATAATTTATGTAAGATGTTTTATTCAAAGAAGCATGTTTTTATTATAATTCCAAATCCTAACGATAAAAGGTATTGTTGAGTTTGTGATAAAATATATAAGTAATGATATTGATGATGAATATCATTTTTTTCTCTAATATCGTATTAAAGAAAGCAAACGTTTTATGCTTGAGTGATTGTTCAAATTGAATTTTATCTTTAAACAGTTAGAAGATATAAGGTATCTAAAACATTTGTGCGAACATTATATCATTGTTCAGCTATTTTTTATATTGTTGTTTTTATATTCCACTCAACTGTAATCAGTATATATTTCATGTTATAATTTGTCTTACAGTGTCCATGAAAAATATCATAATGTAAATAAAATTTCGATTGACTGTGAACTATTTTATATCCTTTTTTGTTTGCATGTGTCACAAAATCATTTTTGCCATAAATTGTAATTGTTCTATGTGTTGTACTGCCGTCATCTTTCCGAGAAGTTTTCTTTTTCATCCTATCCTTAATGTATCTTTATTAGTTTCAAACTAAAGTGTTTGATAGTTTTTCTCAATAGTTCAGTAAGACACCTTTGCGGGTAAATTTCCAAAAATAAATATTATCGTCCTTATTTTGATTTAAATAAAAATCCATGCAAAGTGAAAGGATCATTCCTTTGGTAAAAAACAGCACTCACAAACAATATACACATGATTAAGAAGCCGTTGATATGCGATGATACGTTTTTACTCCATGAATACCAAAACAAAACTGTTACGTGAGTTAATATATGAAATCCGATAAAGAAAATCAAATCTTACCGCAGCAACATTTGCCTGCTTCTATAGAAGGAGTGATTGGAGCAGAAGATAAATAATGTTACGCTCGTCTGCAATACTGTATCACGAAAAGGCTTTAATAAGAACAGTTTATTTGTTTACAAAGCAATCTACAACAGTCGGTTTCATCTGTTCGAAAAATTTGAAGTATTTTAGAATACATGATTTTTTTTTTTTTTTTTTTTTTTGTCGCAGAGCTGCATCTGTTTTACTTAACTTATTACATCTAATAAGGTTCGAAATATATCGAAATTAGCCGAAAAGATGTGAGTGTCCTTAAACAAGCAGGTACTATTTAATTATTATCTTTTTTCTATTCTTCACATATCTAATTACCTTAATGTTCTTGTCAATAATGTAATGAAGTTAATCGGATCGTATTGTGTCTGTTCAAACACTCGACTCGCCAGCATTATTAGCTCCCTGGATAATGATTAAAACAGGCTTTATAATCAGCAAAATTAAACAAAATTATATTGTGCCAATCAGCGGGAAAATTAGCCATATATCGGTGCTAAATATCATTAAAGGGGTAATATAGATATTAATGAATGCGTTCTGATGCGTAAAATAAGTATAACGCCTCACAAATCAAGCTAGTTCCTGTCTTTAAAAAGACTCCAAAAATAATCAGCCCGTACACATTATCTTTCTTAAGTTACATTTTTTTTTCTTTTTATTTATTTCCTTTTATAATAATAATCAAGTTTGTTGACTAATAAGTGTAACTCTTTAAGCCGCACGTGCGCCTAGCTCTATCTCATATTTATGTGTCTGTTTGTTTGAAGAGAGGTTTTTTAATAGTGTACACAAATAAAATGATTTAGTTCTTTAATCAGGCATGGGGCACTTAATCCACACAATTTACGTTAAACACGTCAAAATATTGTGAAGTGAGTTAAGTGTACAAAGAATTAGTTTACACATTGCAACAAAACTAGAAATCTACGAAAATTACCCCAACAAATATAAATAAAATAATAAATAAATAAAATGAATCGAAATAATAAAATAGGCCAAAAATGCAAAAACTGTCAATATTTGCTTTTTTACATATGATAATTTCTTGAATTTTGAATATTCTTGTTTTCCTGAAAATCTAAGTACATTTTTCTCAGCGTCGATTTACTTGCAATAATTTTACCCGTCTGGGGACATACAGCTTAAAACTGTATGCTTTTTCATATTATCGTAGTGTGAAAGTTTTTTTTACATACCTAGGAACACTGATAAGAAAAAACTGGATAAAGTGTGATCCCTCGGAAGCATTAATAAGAACAAAATTACAAAAAAAATGCAGACTCGGTTTGACTTAGTCATAATTAAAAATTAATTATTAATTAATTAATTAATTATTAATTTCGAACTTTTTCATTATCCCTTATCCCATATCACCTCTTGAGTGAGATCTATGCACCTATGAAGTTTCATGTTGATATCTACAAAAATTATTTTGAAAAATAACAAAGGGCAATAACTCAAAACTTTTGCAGGGTAGAGGTATCATTCTTTTGCACTGCACTCCTCCTCAATAAGGTATATCCACCTATGAAGTTTCAAGTTGGTACCTCAACTACTTTTTGAGATATGCTCCGGACAAAAATGTCGGACGAAAGGACGGACGGACGGAGACCGGCGGAGGATAATTATGAGTGCCAGCACGCTAACAATGGTAATCTAATTAATCAAATGGTTGTTTTTCGAGATCACGCATCATAACATTTAACAGATCTATTTGTAAAAAGTAGCTAAAAGATTTGTATCTTTATTCTTTACGCTTGTAATAAAAAGCGTTTTTGAGACTCTTTGTGCAACAAAATTGCATACGTAATAGAATACCTTCCGTGGTGAAGCGCGCATAGGCCCCCTACTGCAGTATACATCTATATTTCAAAAATGTGCGGGAACTTAGGCATATTTTCTTCCTTTGCACCTTATGTTTATTCTACGTTCATATGTAAACCGATTTTATACAAAAGTAAAATTTACTTGATAGAATTTCATATTCTCTTAGTTTTCAAATTATATAAAATTGGGGGATGTATACTTTTGTGTACCCCTCATTAATCCGCCAGTGTATATGCTGCGTCACGGATCATAGTATCGATTATATAGAAGATAAAACTGCGACATTATATAAACATAGGAAGACATACCGCTGGAAAAATGCTGAACTCAAGTAAGTTTAAATTTGTTGATCTGTATTTAACCTTTTATTGCTTGAATGCCAACATTAACTTGCACAACAGAAATTATAATATTACTGTGTATCGTAATTATTAATGTGAATTGTAGGTCTACTTGCGAGTTGTGTATATTGTACACATATCTTTCTCATTACACGTCTTATATGTACAACATGTGTTGATGTGTACTGCATATCCACATAGTTTTTAATTTGTTTGAAAATAGGAGTTTGTTAATATTTATGTTGCGGAACGTAAAATTAACGAAAATACCTACAAACCACATGGCCAGGAAATCATCTTTGTTTCAAGGTCAAACTATGTTTAGCATGCTTATGAAATCTCGACTACAGTACGCGCTCATGTCGATTGAAAAGTTTAAAATTTTAAAGAGCTGAAACAAACACACTTAGTGGTCTTCAAATTATGAATTTGATGAAAAGAACGGATACATAAAGTGGAAAATAATATATAGCAATCGGAAGTACTAAATCGAAAGTGAAAGTAGAACATCTAGATCTTCATGTTTAAACAAAATATTAAATCTTGTAACATTAAAATGTGGTAGATCTATTTTCAACATGTCGGTGCATTGATAGTTCAACCATTTTCTGAGATAGGTATTAACTATATTATGATTATATTTTACAAATTAACAACCCATGGCATGGGCGTAGCTAAAGGGGGGCTAAATCAAATTTTATATAAAAAATGAATAATAAGAAAAGTCTATTTAGGCATATCACCCTATCAAAATGAGCCAATATAAGGCCCTAGCCTACTTCTTATCTTAATAACTTACTTTCTTCCCAATTTCAATAATAATAATAAGTTAACAATCCAACAAGATACATGTATATAATAAAGTAATGATATTTAAAAGTAAATTATACTTGGTCTAGGCTAATTTCATAGAGCAATTAGGAAAATACAGCGTCAGAATCAATCTTCCTGAATTTATTTACTTCAAATCATTTTTAATTGTTCCTGTTTATTGGACAGTTTCTAAAATTGGAAATTTTATTTTCGTTCATAATAAATTTTTTAAACACTTCAGAGGAAGTAGATCTACTAGCATAGTACTTTTAGAGTCAACCGCTCAAATCATGGATGATAGGACCGAGTCCAACTGTGGCAATTCCCATGTTTTTACATAATTATGATACAGTCACTGGTTGGGCCCTTAGCCGGATACTCACGGCCGAACCGTTGACATATTACATAAAATGTTACATGTTAATCAATCGTTGGTATCCAACGATGTGGTTAGTCCATGAAGACATGCGAATGATTTAAATTGGATTAAAACTATAAAACATCTCGGAAAAAAAAGCTTGATATGAGTGTATCTTTATATGTTCTTAAACCCATAACTAGCGTGTTGAAAAATTGCACGGTTTCTTAATGCAGTACACAAAGACTTTAACGTACATTTAGGAGCGTGATGCCGCCGGTGAAAGCGTAATATCAACGAGGTGTGAATGAAGTGCTTCGTAACATCTAAGAGTTGTATAACAACAGACGATGAGTTTAGATTAACATGATATCTTTACTATTTTGCAGAACAAGACTGGCTGCAGGTTCTACCCTACGTTGGCCTGTTAGGATGTGTGTCCTATATCGCTTACTCAGCGTATAAAAGGCAAGGAGGTAATCGTATCAACAAAAAAGTAGTATCGGATAAAGATAAAGACAAAATTGTAACTATGGTTGATATAGAAGATGTGGGTGACAAAACAGCTTACTGCAGATGCTGGAAATCAAATAAGGTATGACACATTAATTATATCCACATTTTCATAGTTGATAAGTGCAGTTACTGTATTATGACGTGCTTTACCATGTCTTGAACATGAACTATGACATAGATATTTTATTTCTATTTAATGAGTCATCTTCTGACCATGTTGTTATATAATCAGCGTTTATACGATATATATTATTTCGCATCCTAGTTTGGCATTAAGAAATCATTTGTGTTAAAGTTTAAAAGTATGTGTCCGATGCGAAAATAGAAATGAAAGTAAAGATTTCAGGCAAACTTCCTGCAGGTGATTTGCTCATCGCATAATTGTCGTTATTTTTACTCATTTGGGCAACCGTTCTAGATATACATGTACTTTAAGTCTTTTATTCCATTTATAGTAGACGGCATTATGACGTCATGGCATTCCACCGGACTCACATATATTTAATTACATTTAGGTGAAGTAAGGGATATAGAGTGAGTCTCGTGCTCAACGAAATAAGCCTTGTCCTTGTCAAGGCTCGAACCGGGCACCTATCAGTCCAGAGGCGTGTGCTTTACCACTGAACATTATAATCTTAGCGCTGTGTCTATTATTAAAATATGTATCACGGTAGAACAAAACTCTTAAGACTTATAATATTTTCTGTTACAAGACTATGTAAATGTAGTTTCACTTTATTTCTTGTTGGCTTTTTTAAAAACAGTTTCCATTATGCGATGGCACGCACAACAAGCACAATGCCGAGAACTGTGACAATGTTGGACCCCTTGTGATGACGAGGAAAGAATAGGATTCTTACTCTAGCGGAATATGTGTTGTTGAAATTAATGATGTGTGAACAATCCAATACTCTATATTGTACTTACACTTTGTGTTGAAGTTTATAGAATAGAAAACAAGAAACACGTGTACCTGTAAAAGTCAGTTATATTGAAAATAAATTGTGATGTTTTGTGGATCTTTAGCCAGATATACTGACCAATTGAAGATAAATTGTTTTGCTTCGTGGAACCTAGTTATTTTGTAGAAATGTAGTATTTTATATTAATTAAGTAAAAGTCCTATGATTAGCCTCTCAAACTCTCAAAGATTTTGAGAGGTTTTTTAAATGTTTAAGTGGACCATTTTTGTAAGCTATGCATACGTCGATGTTGCGAAATAAAATTTGTAAACTTTTTAAGAAATTTGTGTGTTTTTGGATTTAGTACTGGACACGAACCTAACGTGTTTGATGTCTGGGGTAATGAAAGGGTCGGTGGGTAAGGTTGTTGAAAAATGTCTATTTACATGTATTACATTTAAGTCCCTTCCCCCACCTCCCTGCCATACTTATATTTCAAATACAGCTAATATTTGACCCATCACCTAATTATTTATTGTACTGCATACCCTTATATACCGATATCTACAATGTATTTAGCGTACCCTTCAAATTACGATTTCTATTAACCTACTCTTCAAATAAGGACTGATTTACTTACCATTTTTAAAGCTACATGCCTCCAGATGAGTCAAAATATTTCAATAAAATCAAACTTGAGAAAAAAGTACTAAGATGTAAGGAAAAGTAAAAAGTTTCAAGATTCAAGTTATTTTTACATATATTATGTGCGATTAATGACTGATTTTTCAGTAATTACATCTACATTTCTAATGCGTTACTAACGCAGTAACGGCTTTTTATGCATATTTTGACCAGTTTTGGGTAATGTACGTAGTTTGTAAGTGCCATTGATAATTTGTTAATTGCTTCCTTTTGGTTACTTCACAATATAACACATTCAAATACATTTTCAAAATTTTCATGAATCTGGAGGCGTACTGCTTTAAAAAATAAATCCGGATGCCAACTACAATTTAAATTTAGGTTTTCCTTCAAATTAATTAAGCATTCAATTGAAATTAATGTTTTTATTAAATTCAGCTTTCAAATCGGGGTATTTAAACTCTATGTATTTATTTAACTTGCTGTTTAATTAAAACTGTGTCCAAATTGTTAGAAATCATAATTATGAAAAACTGCAAAAGGGAAATAACTCTAGAAGACTTGGTCATTCCATCTTTCAGAGTAGTCTTTCCTTTCACGTATTTTTAGATAAAAGTCTACTCAATCTGAACACACGTGTTCAATGACACAAGGAACAATCAACTCATCCCAACTCTACAGTCCGCTTCCTTGAACTTAAAGTCACTTAAAGTCATCCTGTCATTTGAGAAAACCAAATAGGACTCGAACCCGCGATTTCTGGGTTAGTTTCATCATTCTGTCTTTAGCTCGACTGCCAAACTTATCGAGTCTATACAAGTACTGGTTTCAAAATAATGAGGAAACATGATGGTCGTGACCCAAGTAGTACTCGAACCAACGGTCTCTGGGTTTAGAGGCAGATAACTTAATTACTAGGTCACTGCTCCTCTTAGGTAGCCTCTTACATAATACAATGTCTAGTGACGTGTACATTTTCAACAAAAAGGTATTGTTAATTTCATTTCTTTTTTACTGAAGAAACTGAATTTAAGCATACAAAATGAGGTTTTAGAAACAAGACCTATCACCAAGGTTAGCACAAATGTGTTTTCGCCGATATTTGAATTGAATTTCTTATAGAGAATACTATATTATTCAAATACAATATTATATATTACAATACAAATAAAACAACAGAACATTTTCATATTTGTGTAAAGTCTCGGTTGTCAGGGTCTTGGAACAGATCACAGTTCCATTTGGTTCTGGTTCCAAAAATCGAATGTTGTTTTGTCTTGATCTGGTTTTCTGGAAAGAAATAACGAGAATGATGAGCAAACCTGTGTGAAAGAATGTGCTTACATATATAACACTTAAATATAGCGTACCGTAATCAATATTGTAATATCTGTGTCAATATACTCCATTATGCCCTGCGTTTCCACTAATAATTCTGACTTTTTCAACCTGTTCTTTTGTCAAATATTTAATACCATAATGTGTCATTTTGAGGTTGAAATAGACCATATTTATTGCTGTTCCTGTTTTATATACATATGTATACAATCTGAACTGTTTATATATGCATATCATTTATAAAACAACTTACGGTTGTACTTTCCGCTTGGTAACCTTTGCCCTGCAAAATAAGTCATATATTTATATAACTGTTTTAAATATATATTGTAACGCCTTTCCCAGACAAAACGCGGCAAAAGTTATGAGCAACATTATTAAAAGGCAAATAGAATTGAATCGCTTGAGAAAAAAATGTTGATGAATATATTTTACAATATTTAAATTAGAGGAAAACTCAAATTAACGAATGGAAGTTACTTTCAGGATGAACATTTAGCATAATATTTTGTTGTTCTTGGATGGCTTCGCAAAAAATCTTGGGAACGACAACATTATTTGCAGTGCAGTATACATCTACGTATATTTTATTCAAAATTCACGCTTTCTTTGGTAGTAAATTCAGTCTTTTTATCATGATAGTGAACTTGTGGTATGATATTATATAACTTTCCTTTTTATAATAAAATTTAAGTTTATCTGTGAAACAGCTTACCGTCCGTTTTTCCATTTCTTAAATGTTTTGAATTTTTTCGTACACAAGTATAACGCTAGGGCAGCTAGAAGAATTCCAATTACAGCAGATAGAACCACTACCATTATGTTAACCGGTTCATCCCAGAACGAGGTTGTTGTGGGCGTGGTTTCCGTTGTTGTTGTTGTTGTGGTGGTGGTGGTGACAGCTATTGTCGTAACGCTGGCTGTATTGTTGGTCTCCTTTATAATATGTAAAGACTGATTTGATAAAGGCACATTATGCCCAAGAAAGGAATAAATATTTTCTTTTTTTGAAAGGGCAAATATTAGTTTTATAACGATTAAAAATGGTTTTGGAACATTTTAGATGCTTATTTCTATACAAACAATTAAGCGCTGACTGCTGTGCGCTGACTGCTGTAAAAGACGCAAAATGTAAACAAAGTATTATGTTGGACTTCAATACAATATAGTAAATCACTATAACTCTACCAATTGCTAAGTATTACAACAGAAAAAAATGATACGGTCCAAGAAATAGTATAATGAGTTACGTTTGGAAACTATAACAGAACACCAGACTTAAAAAAAAGCTTTTGATAAATGAAAAAAATCGTCATATGATAAATTGGCTTTTATTTTACTTAATAATATAGTAAAACAGAAATCGGGCGCTACATTTCACATAGGTTATTTTGTATTGCCGGTTTATGTTGAACTGATGAAGACAAGCAATTGACTAGGTCAAAATATGGCGAATAAAGTAAATAGAAGAAGTATTGTTTCTTAAGATGATAAAATAACGAATTTATTGACTTATTGAATACTACTTTTTTAGCCTTTTATCTGCTGAATTTATTCAAATAAAATGGATTACGCATGCGTGGAATATATTAAGAACATTCCATAAAAAGTTCAATACAAAACGGGGCTGGTGACGAGAATTGACCTAAAGACACGATGATATACTAGAAGATATCAAATTTGAGCCGCGTAACGACAAAACCAACATAATGGGTTTGCGAACAGCATGGATCCAGACCAGCCTGTGCATCCGTGCAGTCTGATCAGGATCCATTCGCTCGCTATCAGTTTCTCTACTTGTTATATATAGAGTTTGTAAGCGAACGACATGGATCCTGATCAGACTGCGCGGATGCGCAGGCTAGCGCAGGCTAGTCTGGATCCATGCTGGTCGCAAACCCATTATGTTGATTTTGTCGTGACGCGGCTCATTTCTATGAACCTTATAAATTATATCCAGTGTTGTTGTACTTGACAGCGGTGGCGTTCCGTGGTCCGTCGCTGTTATGGTAAACGTAAATATATCGCCGTACGTCATAGATATTGCTGGATACGTCATAAGAAGTACCCTACCATTCGAATTCATATGAAAGAAAGATCCGGAGCCAGCGGTTATCTGCGTCCATGTATATGAAATCTCTGCATTTAAGTCGGAATCTGAAAGAAATCGAAGGAATGTTTCTGACATTATCATTCATAATATTGGAAATAAGTTTATAGGATACCCTTTTAAGTTTAACGTATACATCTTTTGCGACTGTGTAAAAAGTGGTATTGCACGACCGTACATATGTATTTTGACGTGAGTCATTTGCGCAGAGGCTCGCATAATATATTTTTAATCAACTCGTTCAATAAAATTCAGTTTAAAACTTACACTCATTCAATATCCCATATTTAATGATATTTAAAAAACCAACTGAAGATCGACAGACAGGGCAGAAATCAAAACGGATCTTGATTGAATTTGATGAGCGGAAGTAGCATTAGTCTGGTTCCTTGTCTGCTATTCTGCGATAATGTAGTAACTTGGGCAGTTAATCCAGAGTTAGCTATCATCCATCCATGACGTCTACATACAAATAGTTTGTTAGATAGAAATTTATATTAGTTGTCAGTCATACTAATTTGTTCGGCTGACGCGGATCAAGCATAATTTGTCTCGTATGTGCAACATCCTTACATTTATCAACTTACATTTCTAGTGAAAATCACTAAGCAAAATTTGTTGAAATCAGCAAAATTTTGAGAAGTGACCCTTTCTGGAAAACTAGTAAACTAGTAAAATGTCAAACCTTTCTCTCCCCAGTAAAATATGCAAAATATTGAGACCACCTATGACGAAAAAGGTTTCTTGTTCGCGCCTAAAACGAACAAATGTTTTTATT